AAGGAAGGCTTCGTGGACAAAAAATTCTTTGGAATGGCCCGAGCACGTATGCGCAGAACAACGATTGAAGCGCTCTACGATCCGCACTCTGAACACAGAGATGTGGTCTGTTCTACTTCCCAATGCAAGCAAATAGCCAGATCTTTTTTCAAAGACCTTTTTACCTCCAGGTGTGCCCAACAAGAGAAGGACGCTAGAGAAAAGGAAATCGCAGAATTCCTGGAACCTATGAGAAAAACTCTGACGTACCAACAAAAAATGGACCTGGATCAGCCTCTGTCCAAAGAAGAAATTTGGGCAGTGATGATGCAGATGGACGAGTAAAAAACCCCGGGCGCGGACGGACTCCCCAAAGAGTTCTGGGAAACTTTTTGGTCCCAGATGGCCCCAGACCTTATGGAATTCTATCGACAGGTATGGGGGACAGGGAATATGAAAGAGTTGGCGGGGCAGGGTATCCTTACGCTGTTGCATGAAAAAAGAGATAGGATGGATATTAGAAACTCCCGCCCAATAACATTGCTTACTGTTATTTATAAGATGCTACCGAAAGCCTTACCGAACCGTATGATCGCGGTATTGGACGAGATCATCCACTTGACACAGGCTGGTTTTGTCAAAGGCCGCAGAATCCAAGATAATATCCTGCTGGTTAATGAATTGCTCAAGTTAACCAGGCAGGACAAACAAAACGTGGCCGTGGTCTTCATCGACTTTGAGAAAGCCTATGGGCACGTGGACTGACTATTTTTGGACCGCTGCATGAAAAAAATGAATATAGGACCGGCCTTCCGCCGCTGGATCGAAATCTTGCATCACAATGCGACCACAGGTGTCCAGATAAATGGCAGAGTCGCCCCGGCATTCCCGCTGCAGCAGTCAGTCCGACAGGGGGACCCCTTGACACCTTTTTTGTTCATCATTGTGATGGAGGCATTGGCAGAGAACCTCCGTGCGAACAAAGACATGAGGAAGCTGCAAATCTCGACCATCCCAGAAGAAGCGATCCCCATTTGTTCGATGTTTGCTGATGACCTGACACTCATAGTGGATGTCACCACCGAGAATATGGAAGAGATCAGACGACTGTTTGACAAATTTACGGCAGTCTCAGACATGACAATTAACTGGGGAAACAAAACCTTGGGATGGTGGTTTCACCACCAAGGGAGCGTCCTCCGGAGCTGCCACGAGTTAACTGGCTCCCGGAAACGGCACCGGTGAGAGTGCTAGGAGTTATGTTAGCAGCAACGGGAAAACCTGCGTCGAATGATGATTGGATCCTCAAACCCGCCCAAGAGAAGTTGGCGCGCTGGAACGACAAACATACTTCCTTAATTGGCAGGGCACTGGTGATCAACAGCGTGGTGCTGGCCGCCCTATAGTACAAATCTGCAATGTGGGCACTTAGCAAAGAAGCAGAACGGTCGCTCAAGCGGCAGATAACGGTTATGCTATGGCGAGGCAACAGCGAGCTGTTAAACGTGATCTCAAGGGTGGCGTGGCGGTCGGTAATCCAACCCAGGGACAAAGGGGGCTTGGGGATTTTGGATCCGGCCACCCAGATCACAGCACTGATGGTACAGTCACACAGCCAGTCCCCTGAGAATTGGTGGACTATTTGTTCTATATCTTTCTGGGTTTGAAACAGATCCAGCCGATTTTTGACTTTTTGCCATTGCGCATAAGTTCTTGGTGTATATATTGTTTAATCATGTCAGTCATTTCCTCCCCCGCTATGCGGACCTCTTCCATGGCGTGTATACACCGTCTCCTCCAAATCGCCCACATGACGGCTCTCCTCCCTGTCTTGAACATATTGTTTTCGAAGGTGCTACCCGAGGGGGAGGTCCATGCCTCGCATAGTATTGCCCTCCATCCCATGGCCAGGACGACCCGGTGTCCAAAAGGTTCCAGATTTTGTCCCACAATCGCCATGTTAGGACAGCCCTTGGACATTACAAGAATATATGTTCTACGGTCTGCGGAATCCTACAGAAGGGGAACGCAGCATGGCACGACTTGCACCACGGGAGCACCAGTCCTTTCTGTTCCAGGTATGTGCGGTCTATTAGCCAGTCGTTAGTGGGTAGGCAGCGGTGTTCTATTTGCCACTGCAGCGAGGCTAATTTTGCGGGCCTGGTCCTCGTGAGGGAGAACCACCGGATGGGGCGTATGGCCTCGACTCCCACGTTTAAGTGAGACCTCCAGCGGGCCTTCACAATGTCCTTCAGATTTACCTTGGGGCGCAAAAGACGGTAGGTGGTCTTCACCGTCAAGTTATACAACTTTACGTTCTTGATTCCTAGGTTCTGCGCGCGGGGGGGCACTGCCACTCCTCAGGGTCAAAGGGGAGGTCTGCAATGCAGGTCTTCGGCTGGTATGCTGTCCAATTATCCTTATCTCATAGCACCCGGATCCTGTACAGATCAGTATTCTGTCGCCATCTCGTCACGTCTGGGGTATATCTGATTAGCCTGTTGTCTTTCTCTTTGTGAAAGAGGTTGATCAGCGTTTCATCAGTATGAACTACCGCAACGCTACCAACGCTTTCTGGGTCCCCGGGAGCGGTTGCCCAGTCTCCTTCTACCAGCCTCGGCCCTTTGCGCAGGATGCGCACCCAATCCAGGGGGATTGCAAAAATCAGTTTTTCCAAGTTCTCTTCTATGTTATGACAATGTTTCAGTAACGTCCTCATATGTGGCTCCGTTTTCCAATCCTTTTTTTTTGCATCCCAAATGTCTTTGACTCTGATTATGCCCTTTTTAACCCAGCTGTTCCATGGGGAGTCCGAGCTGCGGTATACCCTTCCGTTTTGATCGGTGATATTTCTGTTTCCATACAGTGGTTGTCGTGCTACCTCCTCCCACCTGGCTGGGCCGGGCCTGTCCGGCAGCGGGAGTTGGCGCCATGCTTTCAAGCAGCGACGAGGTCGCTGCGGACTGCGCCCCGGCTCGAGATCTCAAGGTATGCACCAGAAGCGGTCTTCCAGCCAGGTTAGGGGGCTTACTGTTTGTAGTGCTTGTGGAACCAGTTGAGCGATTTGTTCCAGCGCCAAGGCATACCAAGGAAGGTCCTGTGAGAATACCAGCCTGCGAGGATGGCAGCCGAATTGCCTCCATCAAGTGGGATGGCGGACGTGCCCAGGAAGGTGACGAAGGCGCTCAGGATGGCAATGGGGAGATGATCAAAAGGGACTATCAAATCTGCTTCAAAGACTGGACAATTGTGGGTCAAGACATCCCGCTACGGCCACCCTCGGACTTTCCCGATCCCTTTCCACCCCATCAACTAGCTATGGAGGACATGCAGTGGTATGGAGCGGAGTAAGTAGAACAGTAACAGGTGGAATGCAAGGGTCATGTCATTTGAGCGACAGCAGCCAGGATTCCCAGAAATATTGCTTGTCAGTGTGTCCTCATCTTTGTCCTCAGGTCCCACACAGTCAAAGGGAGCAGGGGGAACTAGTTTATAGCTGCGGATTCTCAACGCCCGGCACGGGGTGA